GCCCCTTAACCCGCCCTCAACTCGCCCTTCCCCGCCACGCAGGTGTACTGAGCCTCAGCCACTCCACTGCCCTCACCGTTTCTCCATCCCGCAGGCGCACTAAGCCGCTACGGCGTCCGGAGGTGGGCCGGAGGGCGAGGGGGCGGGGCGAACGACAGTTTGCGGCTGCGCCCTCGCCTGGCCCCGCCCTGCCGTTCCACTTCCGGCGCCGCGGTTCTTCGGGATAGTGGAGCTGGCGTAGGAGTTTGTATGTGCGTTTGACCGAGTTACAGACCCGCGCACCATGAGTCTTAGCTGGGCAGGCAAGCCGCTGCCGCGCTGGGGGCTGCCTCTCGGCGGCGCCGCGCTGCTCCTGCTGCTCCTTCCGGCGGCCGCCGCGCAGGAACCTTCCGGAGCGGGTGAGGGCGCCGTGGCAAGCGGGGGCCGCGGGAATGGGGGTTGGGCGGGACGGTGGCGGTGTCGCGGGTTCGGGGTCACTGGTCGGGGTAGAGGTCAAGGGCTGGACTCTGAAGCCGGCCCCGGTTCTCAGTCACAGGCTCCGCCCGCTTGGGGGCTCTGCGAGGGTCGCGCCAGTCTAGCGGCCATGGGAGCTTCTCTCGGGGTGGGGTCACCGGGAAGGCGGGGCCCCTCTGCCTGGCCAGGGAAGAGCCATGCCTTTGTCTTTGTCCAGCTGCTGAGGCCACTCCTTGCGCGTGACTGTAGGATGGCCCTCGCCCAACCAGTGGGACGCGTCCCTGCTTAGCACCCCAGGGTCTTCCTTAACCTCTCTGCGACCCCAGGAAAGAGCTCCTCTCTCAGGGTTAGATCTGGAGCGGGGAAGCGCAACGTAAGATGTGCTCGAGATCCCGCATCTGGTCGCAGGCGAGCCAGGGTTGGGGCCGGGAAGCCGATTTCCAGACCCCAGACTCCTTGAGAACTGGGAGGGTTGCGGCCATTGTGTCTTCTACAGCCGCCCGCGTTCACACCTCCTCACGGAGTTCCAGGTATAGCAGCGAATACTTGCAGTTATTTTATGCCTTAAGGCACGAAAGACAGGCTTTATCAAAAACGATGTTGTAGTATCTGCTTTTGGAGCAAGCCGATTATGTTTTAGGCTTTCCAGTCCCGCAGGTGGCATTCTTCATATTTTATCCCATTATGTGCCAGCTCTGCGGCTTCGGTGGTGACAGACGAACAGAACTCCTGTCCTTAAGGAGCTGAAGTCCTGGGGAGACTGACCAAGCAACACGAAGTTAAAAGGCTGGGAGCTGGGTCAGTGCCAGTGGAGGCAGTGCCACAGAGTTCCAGAAACTGGGAGTGTTTCTGGAGTGTGGTTTCCCATGGGACTGGGCCTCCAGGGCCTGAGGTTGTCTCCAGGCTAAAGGAAAATCACGGAAGGTTTTAAGCTGGGGAGTGTCACACTAACTTCTACATGTGACATCTCCAGGTGATGTGGTTGCGGGTTATAGGATGCCCCTTAGTTCAGTTTTATGACCTTTACTCAAGAGGGCAGATGTTTTCCTCAGGTCATGCTATCCTGGGCCTCTTCAGGTGCTCCTGAGCTCCAGCACAGCAAAACACCTTTCACTTGGTGAACTTACTGGATGTTTATTCTAATGCAGGATTATTTGAGTTTCTTCTTACCTGCCTTTTAGTGTGCTTAGTGTTTGTGACATTAGCAGTGCAGCTGTCATGAAGTTTGTAAATAAAGGAGTAAAGTACTACTGTCCGGGGAACTTCTGGCCTAAATACCATGAGTACTTTTCATCAAACAGACTGGGCATGTGCCCAGGGAGTATGTGACTCACTAGAAGCTCTTACTGTGGCTCAGGGGTGTGTTTGCTTGCATTATCAGAGTGGGTGTGTCAGGAAAGCAACCTGAGGTTTTGTTTGACTGCTCTGATTCTCCTGCTTCGCACTTTGGAGGGGGCAGAGATGGGTGTAGGGTGAGTGAACAACAGTTTGGGAGCTAAGCCAGAACTGCTGTTCAGTGTGTGGCTGAAAAGCACTGCTCTAGGTGGGTGGCACTCCTGTGCTTCTACTTGAATGATCACCACGTCCTGGGGGGGCAGTGGGGGGGGTGAACTGGAGACACCTTGACATGGGAGGAATGGTGTCATGTCGAGTTGGTGTTTCTCGCCCAGGCGCCCTTGATTCACCTTGTCTGTGGAGAGAGGTGCTGCTTCCAGCACCGAGATCCCCCTCTTCCTGCAGAGTATTTGCTTAGTAGATTTTTATTGCTTGTCGTACCTGTAGGAATGTGACCCCAGTACTAATGTTTAAAAGTGTGTCTTCTTTACAAGGATACTCTGTGAATTAAAGAATACATAACACCAATCCAAAAGCAATGGCTTTTCACGTGTTTGGTGGAGGAGAGACTTTAGGAACCCGCCTTGTATGGAACTTTCAGAGCAAGATTCATGAAATTAAAGAACCCTTGAGAGGGCTTTTGGGCCTCACTTAATTAATTATGTATGGGGTTGGACTTAATCCTAGAGCTTCGTTTGGGTGAAGCTGTCTTAGAGGAACCCCAAGGAACATGAGTTGGCCAGCACAGGTCACTGGGATGGTGAGTCCCACCCATGAACTCTACAGTGGAGACTTCTGATTTGTAGAGGAAATCTGTAGTTCTCCTGCCCACCTCATCCTGAGAAGCATGGCTTCCTAAGTGAATTGTGTGAAGTGTACAGTATACACATGTTTGGAATTTGATGTATATTACCATTCCTCTCCCTGCTTGTGTTCCCTTGAAATAGAGGGGTGACAGGGATTTTTTTTGATCTAAATGAATATTCATTCTCTTTTCTCACCTGGAATTGCCTTTCACTGTGCAGACTGGGCACACTCTCCCCTTTAGAGGCCCAGGGCCCATGACCTGCTGTGTGATGGATGGTGAATAATATACGTGCTCGCTTCCTTAATTTTTTTACAAAGCATATCTCTTCAACATGCTAGTGTGTTCCTTTGTGCTTATTGAATTTATTGACTCACCTGAAACCTTAGGACAGCACTCAAATGGGTCATGGTGGCTTAGTGTATCCTGACAGAATTTTTTTTCCCCTTTAATTTTTAAGTTAAATGAGATGGAAATTTTTTTACAAATTGAATCTTAAGTTGAGGCCTTGCAGTCATAGGACTTCAGAAGTCAGGTCATTCATGTTCATTATTAGACAAGAGGTACAAGGGCTGTTCTTATTGCCTCTGCCTTTCCAGCATATGGTTTTCTGTATCCCGCTGTGAAATAAGAGATAGTGACTTCCTGGAGAAAGAAAACACTGCCTGTCTCTGAAGCAGTAACAAATGGTTCATGTCTTACTCTTCTTACTAAGGAGAATGTGTTTTCTTTTTTCTTTTTCTTTTTTTTTTTTGTGTTGGAGTCTCACTCTGTAGCCCAGTCCAGAGTGCAGTGGCATGCTCACAGCCACCGCAGCCTCTACCTGCTGGGCTCAGGCGATCCTTCCACCTCAACCTTCTAAGTAGCTGGAACTACAGGTGTGTGTCACCATGCCCAGCTAGTTTTTTTATTTATTGTAGAGATGAGGTCTCACCATATTACGCAGGTTGGTCCCTGTGGGCTCAACCAGTCCACTTGCCTCTGCCTCCCAAAGTGCTGGGATTGTAGGCATGAGCTACCATGGTTGACTGAGAAGCCAATAGAACAACCTTTGCCCAGCTTTGAGGTTATTTTTGTGAGAACAATTTAACATTGATATCTTTCCCCATGCTGAAAACCTGCCCTTTTCTTGGCCTGCCCAAGTAGGAGGAGCGCTGGGCAGTTTTCCTCAGCCTTGTCCTCCACTGCTTCCTTGTTGACTGGCCCTTAATCCAGAGTCCTAGGGGTAGACAGAGTTTACTGTGTGTATTGGTGCTTGATTGTTTTAGCTCACATAAGGCTAGTTATCAGAAAGAAGCTTAAACACGAATCTTCATGAACGAGTTCCCATCTTACATGTAAGAAATAGAATGATTTATTTTCAGAATGAACCCTGAGCCATATTAAAATGCCTTTGCTGAGTCACTTCCTGCTTCTTTGTTCTCTTTTTCGCAGGCTTTCACTTTGGTGGGCTTTTGTGTTCAAATTTCAGAGGGAACCAATCAAAATGAAATCCTGTAAATCAATCAGCAAATAGGACGCGTATACAAAGGGATTTTGTAACAACTCTAAGCCTATCAACAAATGATACATGCATATAAACTAATTATGTGGCCCAATCTATGTGTGCCATGTAGGCAACATCCGAGAAAGTGATATAACCTCTGGAGTACCCAGCCTATGGAGAAACAGGGGAGGGACTTGCATTGTAGGACACAAATATACTAGCTGTAATGGCTTCAGTGTGCCTGCCCACCAGACACCCGATCTTGCAAGACTGTCATTAAAGTCTCGCTTCTGTTGCACTCCATGACTCTATCCATATTTTGATTTTGGACAGGTGAGTTCGTTTCTCACATGTATCATCCCTGTCTCCTGTGGCTGTTGCTGGCTGGTGAGAAGGAAGTGTTCTTCCTCATAGATGCCTTTCAGAAAGGACTGGAGAGTGGGTGTGTTAGGTGCAGTGGCACAATCATGACTCCTAGCAGCCTCAACCTCCTGGGCTTCGGGCAGTCTTTCCATCTCAACCTCCCTAGTAGCTGGGACTACAGGTGCATACCACCATGCCCAGCTAATTTTCTTACCATGCTCTCCAGACTGGTCTCAAACTCCTGGCCTTGAATGATCCCAAAGTGCTGGGAGTACAGGTGTGAGCCACTGCGCCCAGCCCACTTCTTTTTCAGACTGAGTGATGTTGGTGATTACAGAGCTCATCTCATCTAAAGGAGAGACATGTATAACAGCCTTTTGTGTTGGGAATCTCTTCTCTTCCAGGAGATCCTTTGTGGATAGGAACCGTGCGTTTGCTTTTCTTGGTGCCCTGCTTGCATTGGGTGATTGTTCCAGTCTATTCACCCTCCTACAGAGGACATCTAGGCTGTGTTCAGATTGGAGCTTCATGAGTACAGTTGCTGCAAGCATTTCTGGCAGGCCTCTGGTACAGGTTCCAGTTTCTCCTGAATGAAATACTAAGTGGTATTGCTGAGTTGTTCGGTGAGTGAGTGTTTGTTTTGTGAGCAACTGCTAGACCTCTTTGGTGAATGGTTGAACCATTTATGCACCCTCATCAACACTGTGAGAGCTTCCATTGCTGCCCGTCCTTGCCAACATTTGGTATTGTCAGTCTCTTTAATTTTAGCCATGCTTGTGGGTGTGCAGCCATCTCTCGTTGAAGCTCAAATTTGCATTTCTCTGGTGGCAAGCACTGTTGAGCACAGCTCTTGTCACAGTGTGTGTAGGTTTCAGAGAATAGTGGGTGTCAGCAGGAGCAGCTGCTTGGTAGAGTGTTGGGCATTCTTTCTTATTATGGGGCTGTTCCCTGCTTCTATTTGGCCTGTGTTCCAGAGTTTTTGGCTCTTTGCTGTTCAACCCCTTCCTTAGCAGTGGTGCTGTGCGCAGTGAGTTTTCCACGTGCCTGGAACAGGTGGATGCTGGAGTGCTTCTGTCTTGGCTCCAGGGAGAGTGGCCCCATCATGTAAGGCTGGCCAGGGACCTGAGACCTTGCTTTGTCACCTGAGATCTGTATGTGAGTCTGAAAATATGGGTGTGCTTCTTGGCAGTGTTACTGGCATTGCTATGGACTTGGAGGCGCTTAGGCTCCCAGAGACTGCCCTGCTGAGTGGGGGTTATCCCTCTGTAGAAGAGGCAGTAGACACAGCTTTCGTGTTGGGAGCTTCTTTCCCAGAGGTCCCTTGCGGACAGGTCCCTTGCTCTTGTTGGTGCCTGCTCACAGCAGGACTCCTCAGTGTTCTGAATGTCTTGAAGTAGGCCTGTTCCCAGGGAGTCTTGAGGGGAGAAGGGAAGATGCACATCTGATCATTGCAGTCCCGAGAATCTCGGGTGGCAGCCCTCCCCTGCCTGCCCTGCCCTTCAGCTAATGTTGACAGTGCCTGGTTCAGGGATTCATTTTCTCTTGTCTCCTTCCTGCAGCTTGCTCTCAGAACACAAACAGAACCTGTGAGGAGTGCCTGAAGAATGTCTCCGTAAGTAGCACGGGCTTCCAGGGCTGGGCTTGCAATGTAGGAAGGACTCTGCTCCTTCGCATTCGTGAAGGTGTTCTTAAGGATAACTACTAAATGCTGTTTTAGCCTTTCTCTGGCATACTAAACCCTCTTATGAAAACTGCAGGTACTACCTGATCATGGTCAGTACCTCCTGTAGCAGGTGAGGGTAGAAGACATGTGGTTGGGGCCTACACCTGCAGGGTTGAGCTGGTGGGCAGCATTAGGTGGGCTGAACGGCAATGACCAGCATCAGCCCAGTACATACTGAGTTTGCTTGTGCTTACACCTACTTAGCCTGTAACCTGCGACTGTGGACCTGTGGCCAGGTCTTTCCCATGGGATCATTAGAGCATGGAAGTCTATTTGGCAGGGACTGACTCCATCTGTGAGATGGCCCCAAGACTTGTGGTGAGTGCTCTGGGAGCAGAGAAGGGGCCTGAGTGCACACGTGGGGTGCACGGAGCCCCCCCTGCCCTCTCCATGCTCAGTGCTACAGGGTCAACTTTCTTTACAGGGCTCCCATCAAGAGAAGTTGGGTCATCCGTCATCCTTGGTCCTGTCCTGAGACTGTGAGCCCATGTCCTTCCTGGTTGTCCAGGGTTGCATGAATGCCTCTCTCGGTTCCTGACACAGGATTGCAGGGGGCAGAACAAAGGGACAGAGGCACTGGCTGCCAGATCCAGTGGGTCAAATTGTTCATAGCACTCAAGTTACAGTGTGAGACTCACCCAGCACATTTGGGTTTGTCCCTGGTTCTTTAAAGTCCCTGTGTGCTTCAGCCTGTAATCCCGCGACTTGGGAGGCTGAGGTGAGTGAATTGCCTGAGCCCACGGGTTCGAGACCCACCTGGGCAACTTGGTGAGACCTCATCTCTACAATAAATCAAAAACTAGCCGGGCGTGGTAGCGCACGCCTGTAGTTCCAGGTACTTGGAAGGCTGAGGCGGAAGGATCACCAGGGCCCAGCAGGTTGAGGCTGCGGTGGCCAGGAGTGGCCACTGCACTCCAGTCTGGGCAACAGACTGAGACTCCAACTCAAATAAAAATAAAAATTAAAAAAAATAAAGTCCCTGTGTGACCTTGAGGGAGCGGGTAGCCATTTGAAGCCAATTCTCTATGTTATGAGGTGGGGCCAGGGACTTCAAGGGTTGCTTCCAGAGAGGTCATCCTGGGATCCCTCATGAGTACACCCCCACAAGAAGTGGGAACCATCTGGGGAAGCAGCACCATGGTTAGGTCTTGCTGAAGGTGTTTGTGGGGGTCCTTTACATTCTCACAGGAGGGCTGCCCTAGGTCATTGGCTCCTTGCAGGCCCTACACGTGTTGACCCTTGATTTAGTGACACGTAGGCCCGCAGCTCTGGCCTTGCTTGTGGCAATTCTGCACTGTCCACATGGAAGCCTGAGGAGAAGCTGGCATGGGTGGCAGTGGTTGGGACCAGAACAGCATTTTGTGTGCCTTTTCTAGGGCTCCAGGGAGGCTTCCCCTGCCTCTCCTTGTCAGGTGTCTGCAGGATGCTAAGAACTTATGAGCCTATGTTTTTCTCTCACAGTGTGCTTTGGAGACATAAGACAGCCCAGGAAAGATATATCAGATGACTTCTGCTCAGAGGCATTACCTCATTTCTAAAGCCAGTTCTTATCCGACAAGGCAGTAGTGTAGGTTTGATACATATCTTTTCAGTTCATGGGACTTAAGTAGATACTTGGATTTGCTGATTAGAATTGGAAAGTTGCTGTTACTGTCATGTTTCAGAACTTGATGTTAATTCGTTGAACTTGCTCAGGTGGGTCTGGCCCTTGTGGGTCATATTTCCTTGATGGGTCTTCTTTCTAGTCTTTGGATTTTTCTATTGGAAGCTCACTGTTGTGCATCACTTGGCAGTCTCTAGAGCATTTTTGCTGCCTTGCCCTGTGTAACATCCAGCCCTATGTAACTACCCTGGGCTGGATGTGATGATAACCATAGTCTCGTAGTTGAGGCAGCCAAGCAACTTGCCCAAGTCATAGCAGGTGGGGCTGAACCAGGGGAGTTCTTGGCCTTACTCTGCTCTGAATTCAGACAGCAAGTTGAGGAGTGCAGAGGGACCCCTGCCATGTGGCTGACTGCATACCCACCTGGGTGTCTGAGCACACAGAGGAGATTTCTGGAAGAATGTCCTAGTACCTCAAGCCAGAAGGACCCTGAGTGAATGGAAGAGAGGCTGTGGCAGACTGTGTGGCCCCAAGGTGCTGTCATGTGCGTATGACTTCAACGGTTAAAAAACAACCACCTGTAATAGCAGCAACCATGGCTGGGCTCAGTCACTCAGCCTGTAATCCCAGCATTTTGGGAGACTGAAACGGGTGGATTACCTGAGCCCGCAGGTTTGAAACCAGCCCAAGCAACTTGGCAAGACCTCGTCTCTACAATAAATCGAAAATTAGCTCAATGTAGTAGCATGTGCCTCTAGGTCCAGCTACTTGGAAGGCTGAGGCAGAAGGGTTGCTGGAACCCAGCGGGTTGATCTGGGGTGGCCATGAGCATGACATTACATTCCAGTCTGGGCGACAGAGTAAGACTCCAACTCAAAAAAATAAATAAATAAAATAAATGAATAGCAACAACCACAAAAGAGAACACTGTGTCCTCCCAGTGAAATTCTATGGCTTATGATAAATCTGTCATGTAAACATGGAAAATTAGACATTACAGCTTGAGGTGTTGGAAAAGGGAGGATTAGCCAAAACTCCCAGGCAAAGCCACAGAAATGGAAGATACTTCTACTGGCCCAAATAAACAGGGCTTCACTACTGTTTATATGTTCCTGTCTAAACTGTTGAGACACAAGACACCGAAGTGTTTGCTGTGTAAATAGTCCTGGGAAAGAAAACCCAGGCTACATCATAATATTTTTTAATAGTAGATTTTCACCTTGACCTGAGACAGAAAAGTCGTGCTTTTCTATCCTATTGAGAAGTCAGTAACACTGTTAATATCAGGTAACAGGCAAAGCCTGCTGTGGGCTGGTGTGCAGGTTGCCACTGAGAATGCAGTTCCTTTGCCCCATCCTGTCCATCATCTGCCCGTGGACACCCTACAGGTCAACTTGGCTGTGTTTCTTGTTGCCCAGTGCCTGCTTGCAGCACTCACAAGCCTCTCATGCCCTGCTGTGAAGGGAGTGAGGACCTAACTCCTGGCTCGGATACACACGCTGCTGTGATGGTGCCATCTCCACCACTCAAGTCTCTCCTCTCATATTTGAGGGATTACGAGCATCTGCAAGGATCTCTCCAGCTCTCAAGTTTTGGGCAGATATCTTTGAGCCTTCTTGCCATCATCTTTCAAATGGCAATAACTTAGTGCACTTGTAAGGGTCAAAGGTGGGCTGTGGCGTATTCCCATGGTCACCGACGTCCATTCAACAAGCTGAATGCCTGCTGTGTGCTGGCCCTGTCCTGTGTTCTCAGGATCCTTGGTTGAGGTGCATGGGTGCCAGCCCTCGCGCAGACAAAACATGGTGGGAATGGTGCACTGGTGCACACTGTGCTGGGAGGGGAGGCACTACAGAAGCACAGGGGAAGGGGGAGGTCAAGGCAGGCCTTGTCCAGCTGGGTGGGTCTCCTGCACAGATGGGGAAGAGGACTCCAGGCAGAGCCAGTGAGTATACAAAGGCCCTGAGCAGAGGCAAGCAGCTCTTGGCAGCAGCACCAGAGCCCTGTGGCAGTGTGAAGCATGGAAGAGTTCTAAGCACCATGGGCCTGGGACGAGTGGATTGAGAGCTATCAAAGCTGCTGTTCACAGTGCTGGGTGTAGAATTAAGGGCAGTGATGGCAGGGCAGACACAAGGTGGCAGGCTGAGCCATTGTGCAACAGAGGGTGACTGGGTGGGCAGTGGTGACCGCAAAAGTTGGGAGGGTCCCAGATGGTCTGATTCTTTGGTTTTTCCTTCATGTTTCATTTGATGTTTCATGTTTATCTCTTTCAGTGTCTCTGGTGCAACACTAATAAGGCGTGCCTGGACTACCCAGTTACAAAAATCTTGCCACCTGGTTCTCTTTGTAAACTGAGTTCTGCACGCTGGGGTGTCTGCTGGGGTAAGTCCTTGTCATTTGCTTCTTGCAAAAACAGCACTTTTGCAAATATTTCAGTATGTGCTCAGTTAAACATACATTGCTAGAAAATATAATGCCGATAGTGCTGTGACTCTCAGTGAGACAGTGGAAAGCCTGGGGTTCCCTGGGTCCTCTGGAGGGCCACCTCAAGGTCGTCATCCTCTGTCTTGAACTCTGTCTCTATGTTCTGAGAAAGTTGGGGAGAAAGGGAGAGTTGAAGGCTGGCCTTTTTTTTTTTTTTTTTTTGAGTTGGAGTCTCACTCTGTCGCCCAGACTGGAGTGCAGTGGCCGCTTCCGCCCACCACAGCCTCGACCTGCTGGGCTTCGGTGATCCTTCCGCCTCAGCTTTCCAAGTAGCTGGAACTACAGGCATGCGCTACCACGCCCGGCTGATTTTTTGATTTATTGTAAAGATGAAGTCTTGCTGCCCAGGCGGGTCTCCAACCCGCGGGCTCAGGCAATCCCCTCACCTCAGCCTCCCAAAGGCGCGGGGTTCAGGCTGAGCCACCAAGCCCGGCAAGGCTGCCTTTTTTATTGATGTTGTTGAGTTGGAGTCTCACTTGCCCAGGCTGGAATGCAGTGGCATACTCATAGCCACTACAACCCGATCTTTGAGGCTCAGGTGATCCTTCCACCTCAGCCTTTCAGTAGCTGGAACTATAGGCACATGCCATCATGCCCAGCTAATTTTTTTAATTTATTGTAGATATGAGGTCTCACCAAGTTGCCTAGGCTGGTCTTGAACCTGTGGGCTCAGGCAATCCTCTCAACTCAGCCTCCCAAAGTGCTGGGATTATAGGTGTAAGTCACCATGCCCAGCAGGAGGCAGTATTTTCTTAGAGCACTTGAATGATTCTTTTGTGTGTTTGCATCTTGGATCCCTTCACAACTTATTCCTTATTTATCTATCTTTTTTCAAATTGATTTCCATCTAAAAATCCATCAGCCTCCACCTGAATCAATTTGTTTCTGGTGTTGAGACCCCAGGGAATTCAGAAATTTGTGTGATGGTGGAGTGGTTGTGATTGTGATTGTGGGATGTCTGTGCAGGTGAGTGTGTGCACACACATGTGTGGGATGTGCATATATACAGTATGTGTCTGGTGTGTACATGACCATCACATCTGCCTATCTGGCTGTTCTCTCTGCCATCTTCACACTAGAATGTCTTCCTGAGTCCTCACTAATCCCTGTTCCATCTTGACTTATTTCCTCTAGAACCTTCCTTACTAACTGTTCTACAGGGCAGCTCAGGCAGCTCTTGGACCAGGGAGGCCCTTGACATTTTGAGCATCTGTTATCAAGACTGACACATAACTTCTAATAAAGTGTACACGTCTTGTTTCCCTTTCTGTACAGACTGCAGTTTATAGTCTATACAAGGAGGGGACCCCAAAAACCCGGAATTTGTTTATTTATTTATTTATTTTGAGTTTGAGTCTCACTGTCGCCCAGACTGGAGTGCAGTGGCATGCTCCCAGCCACCACAGCCGCAACCTGCTGGGCTCTGGTGATCCTTCCGCCTCAGTCTTCCAAGTAGCTGGAACTACAGGTGTGTGCTACCACGCCTGGCTAGTTTTTGATTTATTGTAGAGATGAAGTCTTGCCAAGTTGCCCTGGTGGGTCTCAAACCCATGGGCTCAGGCAATCCTCTCGCCTTGGCCTCCCAAAGTGCTGGGATTACAGGCTGAGCCACCGAACCCGGCCTAAAAACCTGGGATTTATTAAAAATTGTGTATTTATTCTTGTTTAAACTTCAGTCACCTTCAAAGTACTCTCCATTTGATGCAGTATACCTATTGAGATGCTTTTCCACTGCTCAAAACAGTTTTTGAATGCATCAGTTTTGATGCCTTTAGTGCTTCTGTTGTTTTTTGTTTCATCTTTTTCACATCTGCAAAACGTTTCCCTTTGAAGATTTTTTTCATCTGGGGAAATAAAGTCACTGGGAGTGAGATTGGGTGCATAGGGAGAGTGGGGCATGGGGGTCATGGCTGTTTTTGTTTAGAAACTGCTGAACACTCAGCATGGTGTGGGCAGGTGTGTTGTCATGGTGGAAGAAGCAGTCACTGGTTTGCCACAACGTGGGATGTTTCTTCCGCAGATCGTAACGCAACCTTCTCAGAACTTCCAGATAAAAACTTCGGTTGACCACTTGATTCCGAGGAACACGTTCGAGTGTACTTACAAGGCACCTGCCCTCCAAAAGATAATTCTGGGATTTTTTTGGGTCCCCCTCATATAATACATCACACATTCATATGAATTTTTGCATATATGTACAGGTTATCACCCCTAGAGCATAATTTTTGAACATCTCAGCACTTGCAAAGGGTCCCATTACTGTCAGGACCCTGTGGGGAGCTCCTGGTACTAACCTTCCATCACCACAGGTTGTGTGGCCTGCTCTTGATCTAGAGATAAAGGGACTCATACATTACTCTGACTTTCTGTTCAGCATATGCCTGGGATGCATGTCAGCTGCATACATTGTTGGGCTCCGCATCGTGTATTCGTCCACAGCTCTTGGCGTCTTTCTTGTGCTGCTGTGGACAGTCTTGTGTTGTTGTGCACATAGGCGCTTGCTTCCACTTGGCGTATGCTGGGGAGTGGAGTTGCAGGGTCACAGCATGTATTTATGTTTAGCCTTAGGGCTGCCAGGCATTCTTGAAGAGTGGCTGTTCCAGTTGTACTCCTCCAAGCAATGTGGGGCTTCTGGTGACTCCACATCCTTGCCAACATTCGGGGTCATCTGTTGCCCTTTTTTTAGTTCATTTGGTAGGAGTATAGTGGTGTCTTGTGGCTTTAATTTACATTTCTTCAATGACTGGCGATGTTGAGCAACTCTTCAAGTGGTGGGCATTTTTTATAATTCTCTTGTGAAATGAAATTTCCACCCTAGGCTACAGGGATGGGTGAACATAAGATATCCGACCCTGGCCAGGTGAGATTGACAGCAGTTTATTAGTCCCATATAGTCACAGCTGGTAGGAGGGGGACACTACACACCCCTCAGGGTCACATGGGATCAAGCCAGGGGCTGTGGGAAGCATCCTTGTAGTAGTAAGAGGGTGGGGTGCCCCGATTCCCAAGGGAGGCTGCAGTCGGTTAGTTCTGAGGCTGAGAGGGAACTGAAACTTGCTACTCAGGGATAAGCAGGAGCTCCACCTGGTTCCCGTGATAAGGAGGAAAGGTTGTGTGACTGGGGACCTTGCTGGTGGGAACAAAGTGGGAGGAGAATTAGGACTAAACCTTGCCAGATTCATAACTAAGGGGCCTGGGGAAACAGGATTTTTATTGACTCTTTCTGTATAATGTGGTTGATTTACTTTCCAGCCTGACTCTGGCATACCATCACATAACAGACAAAGAAGGGAAATCAAGGTACTTATGACTTGTAGAACTGTCTCTTGGGGCTCCCTGTCTCCAGACACCTTTTAAGATACTTACCTCTTCTCTCTGAAGTCTGCCATCTGTGAGGCTTCAACTACACATCAAGAAAGTTGATTCCCTTATCTTCTTCAAGCTGCCCACTTCCTATACTGATTTCAAAATGTCTTAGATAACTCTAACTGACTAATTGCCAGTCAGGAAATCTTTGAATCCACCTATAACCTGTAAGTCCTCACTTGGAGATGACCCGCCTTCCTGGACGGAGCCAATGGAAATCCCACATGTATTGATTTATGGTTTTCTGTAACTTCTGTCCTCCTAAAATGTATAAAATCAAGCTATGATTTAACCACAATGGGCACACATTCTCAGAACTTCTTGTACCAGGTATCACAGGCCTAAGGTCACTCACATTTCATCAGAATAAGCCATCTTAAGTATTTTATGGAGCTTGGCATCTCTCATCAACAAGTACTTATGGTTGGACTGCTCAAGGCCCTTCTGAGTTCACCAGATGTCAAGGCAGTGGATGATATTTTTAGGACTTAGCACCACAGCTGGTTATTTATTCTTGCAAGTAACTTTAGAACCATTTTATCAAGTCTAGAACTGGATATTATATATTATTTTAAGGTTTTAATTGTAGTGACCTAAAATATACATGTTCATTTGGAGAAAAATGAGATCTTGACACTTCGACCTTCTGTTCAAAAGTGAGTTGTCGCTCCCCTCACAGGTCACCTTTGCTTCCTGTGGTACAAGTCCATGGGTTTTGCCCTGTATGGTTAACACAAAAAACCCAAGTTCTGTTTCTTGTTGTGACAGAATTTCTGTTTTTATTTTATAACTGGTTTTAGCTGCTAATTAGAAAAAGTGTTTTAGAACCAGTTGTCTTATTGATCTCCTTGTTTTTTAAGTTGATTTTCCTGGAGTTCGCTAATGGAAAATTACCTTCTGCTAATGAAGGTCCTTTCTGATTCTACCTTTACTACAGTTTTTGCAATTCTACTTCCAGAGCAGGTCAGAGGAGGAAAAAACTCCTGATTAAAAGCTTAAAAGGCATTTGATCAGATGTAACACCTACTCCTGATTTTTAAAATAGTTTAAAATTGAGTTATTTTAAATAAGCAGCCCTCAGGAAGTGTGTCTCAGGGTCCATAGTGCAGAGTGGATGGGCTGAGGGAGCCCTCGAGGCCCAGCCTTCCCTTGCTAGAGCCAAGTCTTTCAGCAGAACGTTCACCTCCAGACCCCAGGAGGGCACTGGCTATCAACTTAGATGGGGTGATACAGCTTTTAGCTTCAGTTAAACAGATGGAGTCACACTGTGGCCACTACTAGGGAGTTTGCTTCTGAAAGCGTCTTGGGAAGTATGTTTCCAAAAGTAGTGTTAGGGTTCTTTAAGTAGCTCTGATTTGAATTGATAGAAAAGTCTTGACTGTTTTTAATGTATAGATCTTTAAGAGAAGTTGAGAACTGTGAAGCTTGTTTTGGCTTGAGTGTGTCTGAAGGCTGGTCTTGGCAGGACATCAGAACGGACCTGACACACATCAGGCAGCTGCTATATGGCTCCAGGCACCAACGAACACTTAGATGTGAAGATGACCCATCTTTTCCCATGGCCTGTTCACCTCACCAGGGTTGTTCCTTTTGGGTCTGGTGGTCAACATTTGCCCTGAAAGATGTTTGCTCTTGGAAAGAATTGTCATAATCTTGACTTTGGTTTGATTACTAAGCAAATCTGCATCAGGATTAACCTCCATCTGTGAGTTTCACTAAATTAAGAGTTTAGAATGTCTTAGGAGAGTCTGAATATGCTGCTTAGAATTCGTTTTCTTCTTTCTGGTTTCTGTTAACTTTTCTCAGGCTTGAAATAATATCAAGTGAGAAAAACTGCCCCATGACTTCAGTTCATTGTAGTTAATCTATAAATTGTCAGTCACAGATTTGTGTCTGAAAGGAAACTAGAAAGCCCCATCCTGTCGTAGGGGCTGGGCTGCAGGTTCCCCCGCCCCTGGGTGGGTGGAACCCCTGTGCTCCTGTGCCTGCTGAGGCTGCTCTCCATGCTAGGGAAATGGTGCTTTAGGGCAGGTTCCATGCCTGGTAGGGCTCTAACCCCGTGTGCTTGGATTCCAGTGAACTTCGAGGCGTTGATCATCGCCATGTCGGTGGTGGGGGGAGCCCTCCTTCTGGGCATTGCCATCTGCTGCTGCTGCTGCTGCTGCAGGAGGAAGAGGAGTCGGAAGCCAGATAAAAGTGATGAGAAGGCTATGCGGGAGCGGGAAGAGAGGAGGATACGGCAGGAGGAGAGGTAAGAGCCAGGACCATTCCCACCAAAAGACATTCCCTTCAAGAATGCAGGTCTGGAAGGCTGTGAGAGATAACACAGTCACAAATTTCCTCAGTTGAGAGTGTGTTGAGTCAGGGACCCTCCAGGACGGGTGAACAGCAAGAAGCCACATGGCAGGCACCTTGCGAGTGGTGCTGCCCTTGTTTTCATAGCTTGTGGCCTCTAGTCGGTGACACAAGGGTTGCAGCTGGCGGTAACTGACTGGCAGGTATTGGTGTTGGCCATGGCATGGTTGTGGCCATGGTGCTTGCTGCTGAGGTGGCAGGGTATATTGGTGTTGGCCATGGCATGGTTGTGGCCATGGTGCTTGCTGCTAAGGTGGCAGGGTCTTGCTCATCCATCTATGATGCAAAGGCCGGGGCTCAGAGAGGGAATGGATGGTGTTTAGTCAGGGTCTGCCTGTGGCTGAGTTGGGTCTTGTGTTGCCAAGTCTCTGATGATGCAGCACTCCTGGGGCCACGGGACAGCCCTGGGAGGCAGGGAGATGGGTTGTGTCATCTTCACCTGGCAGGAGAGAGGAATTGGAGGCTGGCTAGTCAGGCGGGCAGCCGTTGAGGGTGGAGGCTAGACAGTTTTTCTGTGCAGTCACCTTACAGTCATGTGTCACTGCATAAAAGCTAACAACAGCATTTTCCTAACCATCTTCAGAACCTGGCCTAAGATTTTTACGGATCAGTACACTTTATATGAAAAACTTTGCCTTTATCGAAAATAATAGAATGGTATAGGGGCAGCCTCTAAAAGACTTTCATCAGGCTTGTGGCCTGATGGCTGATCTTGTCGCATTCTGGTTCACTCTGGGACCTGGAGGGAAGCCACCAGAAGAAACCCACAGCCTGTGCTGGGGACGCATAAGGTTGTGCCTTGTAGTTTTATCATACATTGCGGCTTGGTGCTAACAGCATTTCTCTGTGTTCTGTAGGAGAGCAGAGATGAAGACAAGACACGATGAGATCAGAAAGAAATATGGTAAGAGCCAGCTGTTCTCCTCAATTGCTCAGGGATTGATGCCCGGGTGGCTCCATCCTTGTTCATGCCAAGTAATCTGCCTAGAATTTGGGCAGGGGGTTCATTCATCAGAGCAGGGAGAAGTGTCTCCTGGGAAAAGCAGCAGGATTGTTCCAGGTGGTACGTAACCAACTCATGCCATTCATCCAGCCTTCTTCACCAAGTGTGCCTTCTCGGACACTTGTTTGCTCCAGAAGTGTGGAAACTTCCGGGATGGTCCGTTGGTAGCTTTATCGCCTTGTGTGCTTTGGCATGCGTGTGCCCAGGTAATTGTGGTGCTATACCTCATCCCTGCTTGTGTGTCACTCTCATTTTGTCTTCTGAATATCACAGATGACACTTCTTTTTCTTTTCCTTTTTTTTTTTTTTTTTTTGAGTTGGAGTCTCACTCTGTCGCCCATACTGGAGTGCAGTGGCCACTCCCGGCCACCGCAGCCTCGACCTGCTGGGCTCCGGCGATCCTTCCGCCTCAGCCTTCCAAGTAGCCAGAATTACAGGCATGCGCTACCATGCCCGGCTGATTTTTTTTTTTTTATTTATTGTAGAGATGAGGTCTCACCAAGTTGCCCAGGTGGGTCTCGAACCTGCGGGCTCAGGCAATCCCCTCACCTCAGCCTCCCAAAGGCGCGGGATTACAGGCTGAGCCACCAAGCCTGGCGACACTCCTTTTTCAGAGGATTCACCAAACTGCGGCTATGTTACCTCTTTCCATACCTAGATGCCTTGTTCTTGTTTGGTTATGTTTGGAGAGATTTGAGGTGACTTTGAAGGAACCAGAATGAATGTATATGTCGGTTATAAACCTTTTATTTAGTTGGAGGGAGTTGGACATACACATCAAGTTATCTACACTCCCCCAAATCACATGATATTAACTGCTTGACATGAAACATCACCATCTAGTCTTGTGCTTAGTTGATTCTGTATTGATTTTAAAATCCATGAACTTATGAATGTCTCCTGCACTGGTTATTGTGATTGCATGGTGTTGGATGTAGTGAAAACAGACTCCCTTGTCTGTCTGGGCACACTTGCCCTCAGGAAGTCTCCAGTCCTGAGTCCATGGTGCTTTCCTTGAAGCACTATGCTAAAGGCTAAACCTGGTCTGGAAAAGTCCAAAATTTTCTTCTGACGAATACACTTTTTTTTTGAGTTCTCTATTTGTTTAAGGAAATATCCTGTTTTAGTGGTATTTTTATCACTGCATCATTGCAGTCATTTGAGTCATCTGGGAAGATGGTATGGCCAAGCCCAGTGGTGGCCACTGTTGGATGTGGGTTATGGGAATTATCACAATGGATTCGTACCGTGGTGAAGGCTGCAGAGGCCCTGCTGCTGGTGCCCTAGGCAGTGCACCTGGGGTAGCCCTGCCTGCTGGCTTGGCTTGGCTGTCCTTCTCCTCGTCTCTCAGGCCTTCTTGGAAAATCACCTCCTTGTGCTATGACCCAAGGCTGGGTTGACCTTGCCGGTCTCGGCATGTTTACTCTGGGGCGCAAGGCTCTCCCCATACTTCTTGGCTGCTGGGCTATGAGGTGAGACGCCCAACCCAGTGATGGAGCCTTTCCTGTTCATTTCTTCCTACAGTCTCCCAAGTGTCACACATGCAGGGTTGTGCCACACTGGCTCTTGGGCTCTCTGAGGTCAGAGCAGCTGCCTCTGGTCCTGCTTCTCTTGCTCACCATTGTCTCCACTCTCCTGTCCCCAGTGACCCACTGTCCTTCCTGCCCTTGCCCTCTGTTGCTGTGTTTCCGTGAGTGTGTGTGTGTAGTGTAGGTGGTGCCCAGGGTGTCCTCACGAAGAGCAATGCTAGGCATTCCTCTTCCCTCAGCGACTACACCTGTGCTCAGGGAGCATGTCTGGGCTAGAGGCAGTTTGGTGTCCATGAAATGGAAGGGTCCGAACAAGTTTTTTGGCATCTGGATAATGTTAATCTAAATAGAAGATGAGGTGAGTGTGTGCGTGCACGCACACTTGTGTACATGCCACAGAGCCTGACATTGTCAGGCACAGGCAGTGTCTGAAATCGCTGACCTTGGCTGAGCCTGACCTGGCATGTGCCAGGGCTCTTGGTGGAGCTGGCACCTTCTGCATCTGTGCACTGGTGTGCTGGCTCCTGCCATCGTGGTGGCTAACTTGACTCTTATATTGCACTGAAGGGTTCAGCTTTTGTGCCAGTTTGTAGTTAAGCATGTGGAGTGGACTGTACTGTGGGAAGTCTCAGCTAGGTGAAAGATCCCAGGAATTCTGTGGGAGAAGTGGGAGGGGCCCATGGCCTAAGTGAGTGAGCACATGGAACACCAGCACGCACACAACACCCAAACTAGAGTAAATCTAGGAGCTGTTTTTCAGTTAGGCCTTAATAAGACTGCTAGCATGTGCATTTGGTATCTCGTAACTATTTATTGAAATGAACTCCTTGTGAGCCTCATCCCAAAAGCCCAAGGCCCAGGCCCTCTGGCAACCAGGAGTGGCACAATTGTGCTTTCTTCTTACATCTCCCTGCTCCCCCCAACCCCTAAATGCCTGTAGTCACAGTAGCTCCTGATAATTTTGGTGTTCAATACAGATTTGTAAAGAAAGAGAGAATGAGAATGAGTGTGTGGGCACATTTCTGTCATGAAAAGGGAAAACTCCCAATCCTTGGGTAACAGCACAGATTTATTTTTATTAAATGCACATTTTATTCCAGGCATATCTTCTTAGTTCTTTTTGTAGCCTTAATTCTAAAAGTTGAACAGCAATTATAAGGACACTCATAGTAAGGCAGTTTTGTTTTTCTGTATAATACTAGCCAACATTGTGGAAATAAATATTTGCCTTACATTTTTTTATTTCTCTTTACAAACATCTTAGGATCTGTTAGAATTTTCAGTACATTTTATTTCAGTTTTAAAAAGAGCCATGGTTTGACATCAAAAAAGATTAAACATAGTATTTGAGCCTACTTGGAACATCTGTTTTTCTTACAGCCTCAGTAAATCTTCATGCCACATTTAGTTTGCATCCATGGAGTTTTGAATTTTTTGGTTGAATGAATTTATAATTCAAGTTCATTTTGTTTTCAGGTTTGTTTAAAGAAGAAAATCCATATGCTAGATTTGAAAACAACTAAAACACTCCGACATGTCGAGCAGTTCCAAAGCTTCCTGCAAGGGGCATACACTCCACTGCCCTCACAGCTCCTGACCTTGACAGGTGAACCTGCCAGCCCTCCTGGACATTTGGTTGGATGCTGCCCTCAAAGGACAATCCTCCTCCCATCCCTGTACCCTTGGGGCCTTCTGTTCCCTGTTATCTCTGTTTCTGTATTCAGTCACTTGAGATGGTAAGACTTTGGGGTGTTTTGATTTTTTGAGGAGGAAATGTGCATGTTCCACTACTCTTCTCCGTGAAAGCTAGTTGCAGGCTAAGCAGCCTCATAGCACTGAGTGCTGTTGATCTGATGCTGAGTTCCTCTCTGCTCATTAACAAGCTTCACACGGTAGCAAATGAAGGTCATTCTTACCTTGTCATGGGGAGAATTGGCCAGTCTCTTGTTGTTTCCCCATACTGCCATGGACAGGTCTCTGTGTGCCCATCTTGTTGAATCTTCATACATCTTGACTTGGGTGCCTTTGCTAAAGACCCAGTGGCCAGCACAGTCTGATAAGGACTCGACCTCCTAACTCACCTGCATTGAGTAGCATTGAGGAATCGCTACAATCACCTTAAGTTCTTTTTAAAAAATAAGTCTTGGATTCCCCACACACCTAAAAGATTTTGCCAAAAAATTTTCATATAAAAGCTCAGACCCCTTATTGGATGATTCTTAAAATTTATATATTTAATAGGACATGAGAGTCTTTTGCCCAGGGGAAACTTGAATTAGAAATGAGGTTTTCAGCCCATCCCTGAGTCACTGGTTAGCTACTCCTGCACCAATGCCCCGTCACTGTCTTGGGAGTGCCCTCGCAGGCCTCTCCCTACCTTCACCCTGCTGGTGAGGTGATAGCAAAGGGGCTGAAGGGGATGCCAGGTCTGCCTGGAGGAGGCAGAAGGGCCCATCCAGAGGCCAGCCCCTCTGGGCTATGTGCCCTGAAAGCAGGCATACTCAGGGCAGCCAAGGGATCCTCTCACTGCCCAGCAGCACTGACACCCGTCCTGCCTCTGAAGACCATGCCAGCGGTCACCACCCTGTGCTCTGGCTGTTATATGTTTCTTCAAAATCAGAAGAGGTGGCTTTAGTGAATAGCTCAAGCACTTGGTGGCAGGAAAGCAGTTATGATGAAGTAACCATGAGATTTGCTTCAAGGAAGTTTGAAAGTAGTTCCAGTGTCAGATTGCTTTGAATTACAAATTTTGCTTTGGGAAAATAGGTCAAGCAGCACCTAAAATAAGTGATGCGTTCCATTTTCACACTATAGTCCTGCTGTTGGAGAAACTGCTTTCAGCCTGAAGTAGCTCACAGGCAGGTTACTGTGAACACCTGCTCTTAGGAAGTTACCACATGGCGTGGTGGGCCTTCACTCTGAGCATATGGGCCGAAAAGAAACCAGTCCTCCCCTGAGTCCTCACACCTGAGAACAGAACCTTTCCACCTTCTTCTCATTTCTCTGACTTCTTGGGCATTTGCAGTAATGTAAAGTATTACAAAGATTCCAAAGTATTTTATAGCAGCCATCAGAATGAACTTTCTACTGCTTACTCATGAAAGAAGCTTTTTAATAGACTTTAATGACCTTTGTATTAACCCAGCTGTATGTATGTAAAATCTAGTTTCCTGAGTGTAGGTCACTGAACTAGCTGTAGAGCTTCCAGCTGGTGTGGGTGGTGTATTTAACCCTTCTGTGCAGCATGGAAACCCACCTTGAGGCCTTGGTTGTTTGCTCTTGGTCCATCTGCTTATTCTGAAACAGTACTGAGAACAGCCACAGAATTGTCACCTCAAGGAAACCATAGAGTTTGGAGTGCCTTACTTTTTAACCAGTTTCCAATAAAATGGTTGAACACCTGCTCTTGTGTGACATGCCTGTCCCTGCATCTTGATGCTCTGACATGACTGCAGAAAGCCAGAGGGTGGGTGGCAGTTTGGCTTTCTGGGTGAAGTGGGACCTCCGGCCCAGCATGGACACCTGGAGAGTCTCCGGGCTCCATACCTATAGCCAACAAGAGTGGACTGGCTTCGTCCTGAAGTGTCCCCACGCCCCTGCCCACAGCCCAGGACTGCTTGCCCTCCTGTCAGCTCGAGCCTCGGAGCTGTGTCCACCCGCCCCCCTCACCATCCTTCCACTGGGACCCTGGGTGCACATAGCTCAAGCAGAGGGCAGCGTCACCCTGGGGTGTCCCTGGTGGGCCCTGATGGAAGCACACGCCTCCCTGGTACAGGATCTGTACTCTTCTCCCTTCTCCTAGCCTCCTTTCCTAGTATCTGCAGCACGTGGTTCCTGGGGAGCGCCATCTGCATTACTCTTGCTATTTCAGTCATTTGGGACGGGGGTTTAGTGTGAGCAGCGGAGTCTGGTGGTCAGTCTGTTTGGGGCTGTGGGGACCATAGCGGTGGGAGGCGGTGCCTGAGTGTGGGGAGAGGTGGGAGGAGGAGGCAGGATGGAGGGCGGCGGGACACAGAGGTCCCAAAGGCTTTCCCATCTCCTGGCAGCACTCTTGCAGGCTTCTCTCCACTGTAGGGTGTTGTGCATGTAGGTCAGACAAGTGGTGACCATGACAGTTATATTTCGGTGCTCACTTGATGGGCAGCCCAGCAGGTGTCCCCCACGTCCATTGGAGCCCAGGGTGGAGACTTCACTTTGTCTCCTGACAGAGATGCCCATTCGAGCTTGCTGTAGCGACAACCTGGGTCCCCAAGTGAGCTACCTACTGACCCCCTTTGCCACAGGGAAAGCAGCCTTAGGGTCAAAGAGTCGCCTCATCTGGAAGGATGGAAGTGCCCAGCGCACTGCAGCCTTCTGTGGCATGCAGCTGCCCCATTCATTTGACTCCCACATGGACAATTCGACTCCCCTTCCCCCTAGTCCACTGGTGAGAGCTGGTCACTGCCAGGGGACTGGGCGGGTGCCTCCCACACTAGAGAAGGCCCACCTCGGGCAGTCTGCACCAAGAGGATTTTATCCTGAAGGATCTCCAGTGAAGCCCTCATGGAATGGCTTGGTACTGCAGAGCCTATATGTGCCTGGGACAAAAGCTGACCTCACAGGAATGTTCGAGGTGCTAGACCAGCCAGTGCTTGACTTGAAGGATTTCCTGCTTCCCAGAGCTGAAGAGTGTTATTTAATCCAGCATCAGATGCAGGTGTTCAGTGGTTTTATTTATTTATTTATTTATTTGAGTCAGAGTCTTAGTCACCCAGGCTGGAGTGCAATGGCACACTCATGACTACTGCAGCCTCGACCTGCTGGATTCAGGAGATCTTTCCACCTTAGCCTTCCAAGTAGCTGGAACCATAGGCATGAGCCACCACACCTGGCTAATTTTTTGATTTATTATAGAGACAAGGTCTCGCCATGTTGCTCAGGCTGGTCTCAAACCATGGGCTCAGGCAATGCTCTTGCCTCTGCCTCACAAGGTGCTGGGATTACAGGCTTGAGCCACTGTGCCTGGCCTGTTCAGTAGTTTTAAACCTTGAATACTAAGTGACAATTCGTAACTACGGGTAAATCACTACCAGCCAGTGCAGTATTCTTAAGCACTTCACGAAGTCTAGATCTCCAAGCTCACATATAGTGGCACTTAGTAGATAAAATGATTTTTTTTTTTTTTTTTTTGAGAGAAGGTATTATCCACGGGGCTGCAGGGCCACAGGGCCTGGAGGCATCTCAGTCAGGGAACTTTTTCCAGAAGGGCGTGGACCACACCTTCCCTCTGGTGAGTAGGGTCCCCATCCCAACCCTAGAACCTACAGGTTCTTGGTGATTCCACTGGAATTGGCTAACATTCTTGCTCTGTCTGCTGCTTTATAACTCTTGTAATGGCCGGGCTCGGTGGCTCAGCCTGTAATCCCGTGCCTTTGGGAAGCTGAGGTGAGTGGATTGCCTGAGCCCACGGGTTCAAGACCTGCCTGGGCAGCGTGACCTCATCTCTACAATTAAAAAAAAAAAAAAATCAGCCGGGCGTGGTGGCGCATGCCTGTAATTCCAGCTACTTGGAAGGCTGAGGCAGAAAGATCGCCGGAGCCCAGCAGGTCGAGGCTGCGGTGGCCAGGAGCAGCCACTGCACTCCAGTCTGGGTGATAGAGTGAGACTCCAACTCAAAAAAAAAAAAAAAACACAACTCTTGTAACAGTCTCCACCACTCACCTCTTTTCAGAGACTTGCTCTTAAACTTCTGGCATCCTGTGTGCATTTGTTCATATCTTACTCTACACAGGAACCACAGCTGGCCAGGTTAAGTCCATGAGTCTGAATCCAAGGGTGAAGATCGGGCATGTTCTATTGCCTGGTGGTTTCTACCTCCTTGTCTCTGATGAGAGCATCGCTATCTCCCAGCATTACATTTTGGCAAAACCCCACCAAAGGGCTGGCTCCTGTTGCACAGATGACCTCAGAGGCACAGGTGTTGGAGAGCATGGGGAGAGGCTGCCCCTCATCAGGGCCCAGTGCCAGCTAGGGCTCCAGCAGAGAGAAGGACACCAGTTACTTGGACAGAGAGACTCTAATATAAACAGTTGCTTATTGGCTGGTGCTGTGGCTCATACCTGTAATCCCAGCACTTTGGGAGGACAAGGCAGGAGAATTGCTTGACGCCAGGAGTTTGAGACCAGCCTGGGCAATATAGCGAGAACCATCTCTGCAAAAAAGTAAAAAATTAGCCAGGTGTGGTGGCTCACGCCTGTAGTCCAAGTTACTTTGGAAGCTGGAAGATCGCTTGAGGCCAGAAGTTTGAGACCAGCCTAGCAAGACCCCATCTCTACAAAACAAGAGCTGAGTGTGGTGGCTCATGCTTGTAACCCCAGCACTTTGGGAGGGCAAGGTGAGAGGATCACTTGAGCCCAGAAGTTTGAGACCAGCCTGGGTAACATAGTGAGACTCTGTCATGTTAAAAAATAAAAATAAAAAATAAATTTAAGAAGACTCACTAAAGGGTTTAAGAAGGTATAAAGGGTTGCTCACTAAAGGGTTTAAGAAGGTATAAAGGGTGACTGAAAGGTAGAAGTTAGCAGAGGGCATGCCTCCGGCTACTGTGAAACCCAGAAACAGGTAGGCCCT